GTGAAGGGTGAACATAAACCTGGAATGGCTTAAGGTATATCATCCTCTTCCATTATTTGACCATTATGATCTAAAGGGGTTCAAATGAAGGTATGTGAACTTATTTGTTTTTTTTTTTTTGAAGATGCTTCACTTCTCATCTGAAGAGCTTTGTCAATTTTGGCTGGAATATGGGAGGGTGAAGCCCATAAACCATAGCTTTATGTTGTTGCTTGTGCTCTATTGTTTTTCTGATGTTTTTATTGGTTAGAGGTATTTGCCCTGATCTTTATCATGTTGTACAGCGCTTTGTGATTTATATCTGTGAAAGGCGCTATATAAATAAACTTTTACTTACTTACTTACTGTTCTGTTGTTGTTGCTTAACAAGCAGAAGCTACCAATACATATATACATAGTCTCTGTAAAGACTGGGCACAGCTGCACAGTTTCTTTCAGTGGATGGGCGATGTCCTGGTTGGCTGTTGGGCCATCATAGCGGCAGCCAAACTCTATTTCTACAGACACTGATTAGAACTTGTTTGGCCTGTTGACTATAGGTCCTCTGTTGAGTGGGTTTATTTGGCTTGGCAGTGATTTGCCTAAGCGCCCTTTCCACACAAAAGTTGAGTCGTTAGCTGAGAATTGTTCTTTCAGCCTCTCGGAGTACCTTGATTTAGCATTTTCACCTCCCTGCTGAACCTGTATTTCACCTCTTTTGTAGCTTTCTGTGTCTTTGTTTTTAAATGCAATCTCCTTCTCCATCTTGAGCTGACTGAGTTTGGCCATGGTTTGTCGTTATTGAAATACAGTCTGGTGAGTGATGGAACAATGCTGGAATCACAATGTTTTTGCTCCACACACAAAATTTTATCCACAAGTGCACGCTGCGCTGCGTGCACGTCTGCGCTCGGCAGGATGTAGACGTGGCCAGAATAAATTAGGAGAAATCACGGGGAGAGTACAAAGGGTTACAGTTGAAGAGTAGGCATTCTGAATCAGGAGAAGAGTGCTGGGAGGTTACAGTCACATCAGAACACCAAACCAACTGTTGTTAGTATAACAGACACCTACACCTTTTGGTTTTGCCAGAGAGATCGCTCTTGCGGTCTGCGCAGTGGAAATGAAAGCCATCTAGTAGATTGGTCAAATGAATAGATGAAGGAGTTATGAACAAATATGGAGGTTGGAAAGTGAAATTTTCATCAATAATAATTATTATGTTTTATTTATTAAAGGTGGCGACTGCCTTAGATCCACGATTTAAGGACCTCAAGTGCTTGCCCAGAGCAGAGAGGGAGCCCGTGTGGGTAACGCTACGTGAGTTGGTGAAGGGACAAGAATCTACTCTGAAGCCACTCAGGGAGGAGAACCCTAGCCACCCAAGAAGAAAAGAGCCCTTCTACTAATGGGATCAGACTCAGATTCAGATGAGGAGACACCAGTAGACAACACTGTGGAGAGGTACAAGGTAAAGCCCAGTGCCAAGTGCCAATTTAGATCAGTGTCCACTGAAGTGGTGGTCGGAACACACTGCTGTGTATGATAAGATGGCCCACATTGCCCGCAAATATTTGGGGACTCCTGCCACAACTGTCCATGTGAGACTTTTTTCTTTAGCAGGCCATATTGTGCAGAAGAGAAGATCTAGTATGTCACCAGACAATGTGAACAAGCTGGTCTGCTTGAGTGAATGGTGGAAGAAGGAGAAATAGAGCTTGGACTGATTCACCAAATGCTACTGACTGTAAATAGTTAATCATGACCTATTCTGTAGACCTTCAGTGCAGAATTTGTTGAACTGAATAAACAGCTATTAAACACAAATACTTATTGATCATTATTTATTTTCATCATCAGTTATCGTAGTAAAACTGCTTTATCAGTCTGTGATGCATTTTGAAACAAGAAATATGCCTCTATTCTCAAAGACCTGCTTTTATTCCCTATCTAGGTAGCACACAAATATGCCTTTGGCAGAATTTGAATGAGCCATTTTAATCTAGATTAATCTAGATTAATTCCAAGATTACAGTGAGATTAATCTAGATAAAAAAATTAATCTATGCCCACCACTAATATATATATATATATATATATATATATATATATATATATATATATATATATATATATATATATATAGTTACAGCAAAGTTTATCACAGTACAAATGTTAGGCCATAATCACCCATTACTAAATGGAACTAATTGAGTTATCTTGTAATTACATGAAATGCTTCTGTGTGCATGGTTTAAGTGTGAGTCAGGCATGGGTGGAGACTTTTTTCAACCAGACTTCCAGTTAGAAAAATACCTGGGATAAAGGCGTTGCCCGGAGGACTGAGACAGCGGCACTGGGGCAATGACTAGCAGCACCTCCTTCAAGCCTCCTGCCTGTGCTCTCGGAGTTTCTCAGTCAGAAAAAAAGAGTCGTTAACAGACTCACTATTCAGGAGAAGAGCAGACACAGAAACTGACTGCAGGAAGGAGGACTTCCTGTTCACCCCTTCATTAGAAAAAAGGGGAGGGGACATTTTTCTTAAGGAGGCGAGCGACTCCGAATGCAAACATGTCATACGTGTTAGGTGAGTGGTTGAGTCAGGTGGAGATGTGGCTAGACTCAGCAGGAGACTATGCAGTGCCGCCACGTAGTACGGCAGATATGTCACCCTGCAGCTCTACAGCCATCAGCTGTGGCTGAATCTAACCTGAAGATTACGGTTTGGGGCTGAAATATTATATTTAACCAAAATGCACTAAACTGCCAAAATAATGACTATACATGTGTACAGCACTACTAGACACTAATCTTTACAAGTTATCAGCAAAAAAAGAGGTTAATTTAGGTGCTACTTGCTCTTTAAAACTAATGGGCCATTCCCATCTGTACCTGGTCGGCCCTGCCCGGATAGCTCCAGCCTGGCCCGGTTGATTCCACACATCCTTGCTTAGGTATGCAAGGAATGCAGTCAGATACATTTTCAGCTTCTAGGTAATCAGCATGATAATGAATTGAGAATGCCTTAAGCCCATGCGGGCTGATTCTACCCGCCAATCAGAGGCTTGCTCTAATGGAAGGTGTGAATTTGCTTTCAGCAGTGGGTGTGTTGGTCCTGGTCAGCCTGAAGCAGACCACCTCAGAAAGAGGGCTGAAAAACAGTCTCGTTGCACCCAGAAAAAAGGCAGGCCACCAAGATATGTAAGCAAGCTATGCTATCTGGGCCGGGCCGACCAGGTACAGATGGGAATGGCCCATAAAGAGCCTCCTGCTCCACTACAGAACCTGTCTGAGGTCTTCAGTCCTGCTGGTGTTATGGTCCCACACCACTGTGCAGGGGCCTGTGTGTGTGTGTGTGTGTGTGTGTGTGTGTGTGTGTGTGTGTGTGCGTGTGCGTGTGTGTGTGCGTGCGTGTGTGTGTGTGTGCCTGTGCGTGTGTGTGTGCGTGTATGCAACTCCTGCAAGAACACCTCATAAGGTCTTTGGCCTGGACAAGAAACGGAGCAGATAACGACCCAACCCAGACATCAAACCACAAATAATTAAACGTTGGATCTGAGTTTCTAAGTCTCTGAACCTTCTCATGAGATTTAGAAATCTCCAGACTGCACATCAATTTAGAAATCTCCAGACTGCACATCACAACCAGAGGGAACATTAATCATCTTACAATGGACTCATTGATCCTTGGCTTGGAGCTGAAGTCTTCATCCAGCTTCTTTTCCTCTGCAGGGACTGGCAGGTACTTATCACTCCTCTTCATCGTGGTGGCCTCCTCCTGCTGTGGGCTTTCTGCCTGCTGACCAGAGGGTGGAGGACCTGATGGAGAAGGATTAGACACTCGGATAAACAGTTTGATAGTTATTATTTGTTTGTTATATAGACTAGAGTTGACAAACATGAAAGGAATGTCACTACCTAAACAACAAATCCATTCATTCATTCACTGTATCAGACAAGACCCAGAGTCAAAGGGCCTTCTCTGTATGTGCTCTGAAACTCTGGAACTCTCTGCCCCTCCAGGTTTGGCAAGTGCCTTCAATCGCCTTTCATATCTAGTCTGAAAACGCACTTCTTCTCCTTGGCTTTTAACTCCTAAACCCAGTTCTAGTATTACGTCTACAGGTTTTTCTCCCTTCCATCTTGATTGTAATTTTACATTTGTGTGTTTCATGGTTTTAATTACCTGTTTGGTTTTTATTCCGTTACTCTTAACTGTATTATCCATGTACAGTAATTATTTAGCCTGTTTTTAGTGTGCAGCTCTTTGGTCAGCTGCAATGCTGTGGTAAAAGAGCTTAACAAATAAAGTGGTAGGGTACGGTAACAGAGCTGTACTACAAAACCAGAAGGACTTGTTCTAAAAGGGTTGTGCTCCTGGAGCCTGGGCACCACGATGCTGAGCATCACACCCATCATAAAAATGGTGCTCGTTGAAGGCCACAGCCTCCTTGCTGTTCCCAACACACTGCAGGCCCGCTCAAGAATGGTAAGAAGTCTTGACTTAGGCTCCAAAAGCGTGCTTCTACAGAGGCCCATGTTCTATAAGAGGTGGGACAGAACATTTTGAGTTTGAACCTACATGAAACCAGCAGGAGTAGTACTGTCACACGTGAACAGATGTTCAAATTAAGACATACTTTATTTATCAAAAGGAAATTAAGAGTAGTTGTAGAACATTCTGCAATGCTATAACACATACAATAAAATTATAGTAACAATATTGCTTTATTAAATATTAAAGATAGATTCATAGACATTCTGTTTCTAGGCTGCCAACTTTAGTCTGATCTTCCTGCGACCCTCCTGACCCCTCATGACCCATGAACCGGCCAGCTCCGCTCACATGTTCTCTGCATTTGGATGTTCTGTAATTCCATGTTATAACCTTTTAGATAGGATCAGCATTAGAACTCCCAACATGTGAAAGCTGTGGGGTCATTTCTGCATCATTGCTCACGTCTCCTCTCTTTAGATGTATCCACAAGCACAGGATTGGAAGCTTCCATTACTCCCTGGGACTCTAGCTCAAACCAGAGGGATTAGTTCCTTAAAGCATAAATTCATCGGAGTTTGACACTTGTAATTAGTAGTGGGTGGTTCGTTTCAATTCCTGTGGCATTTTATCTGGTTTTGTTATTGAAGTCTCTCTTATGACTTATTTTCATGTATTATGAATTTCCTGATGTGATCCTTCTTTTGTTAAAATTAATTTAAGGGAAAACTATAAATCTGCAGAGCGATCCGACTCCAAAGGACCTTGGCAAAACATAAATAAAGGCTGCAATGTTGCAGAAGCTTACTGAAATGAAGCCACAGAAAATGTGGGCCTTAATCAAAGGGATCCAATGTTTTCTCCAGAAACCCTGCTGTGCATTTTCTCTTTGGGACATTGTTCCAAGTTTGGTTTAGATTACGAGGTCATTAAAAGCCAAAGCAGTTCCCTTCTGTCTCATATGTAGCAATGAGGATTAGCTGCACTTGTGATAAGTAATCAATAAGATGTGATATTCCATATAAATATGAAACATCAACATGATTGATCTTTGAATATTTGACTTAATATTCCTTTAGGTTGTTTGATTATTCAGGGAACACACACTTCACATCAATTCAGACAGAGTCAAGAATATAGTTTATAAAAATGAATTTAATTCTATTTTCCTAAACTAAATGATTATACATTACAAACTATGAAGGAAACAATGGTTGTACAGGATGGAATGTGAGCTAGACGCTTTAGCAAAACCTTTAGTATCAGAGAGAGAGAGCTTGTAAAGTCTGGGTTGTAAAATCAGTTTGACTATGTGGTTGAATAAACTAGATATTATTTATAAAACCATCCGACGCAATTTGTGCCGAGTGTACGCACCCAAGCGATCCAGGGGGTCAAAAGGTCGAGATGGACACGGCAGATGGCATGGACCTCTGGTACCAGAGCTCGTAGGCTGCTCAGAGTATGACCTTCCTAGTCTGGGTTATCTTTAGACTACAGGAGGAAGTTGGGAGTGTCTATTTTGCATCTGAGGCTGTTTGGTGGCTCTTAAAAGAGCCGTTGTCTGATGTCATTTACAGGCATTGCAGAGAAGTTCGACCCAGGGGTCAAAGGAGAGGATGGTTCCAAATGCTTGCTCACCGGTTGGCCGAACCAGGAGGCAGCGGGAGAACTAACTAGATCAGGAAGTGATTCCTGTAAATATCAAAATTTGTTTGCAAATTCTAAACAAATCTAAATTTGACAAGTTTTTGTAATTTTCTTTTTATTTATTTTATCTGTATTATATCAAACAATCCCTTTGGTTGCTACCAGAGGGAAAAACTACAAGTAGGACAACAAAACAGGAGACCAGTCAACAGAGGAATGAGAGCAAAAATAAAAGTAATAACAACAAAAGGCAGAGGCTTCCTTCAGAATTAAGAAAAATTAGTACTAACATTGTTATGATGATGGAGTGTGAATATTACAATGTTGTGGCTTACATGAAATCAGATCGTACTGGTTTTACATATTCAGACCATTTGGACCAGATTCTGTAAAATTTCTCTAATTGAACCGTAAGGAAAAATGCAATTTTTTCCATTATATAAATTTCGTGTACAATAGCAATTCAGTCTTCAGTTGTAGGCACGTCAGCAGTCATCCATCTCCCCATGACTGCTTTCTTACTTGATGCCATATGAGCAGACCAAACAGTTTTCTATCTTATCTATTCAGTTCATTCAGTGCAACACTCATGTAGTAGTGCACTTAAGTGGGATCTTGATTCCGAAAACATTCTCTATATGGGTATGAATTTCCCTCCCCTTATTATACTACATTCCCGGAAAATGTGCCCATGAGTTGCTCCTTCAGTCCCACATAAGTCTCCAGCAGGAGTCACCTAGCCTGGCAAGCCAGACTAAATAAATGTAATATTTAGTCTGGCAACGCTCCATTAACGGCTCTCGGTTGTGGGGCGGGTTCTACCGTTGTCTTTCAAATGATCTCTGCATGCTACTGGACAATGAATGTGACATAGGCCATGTTCGAGTTGAGCTGCGCCTCGCCTGGAAAACAGACGAGAGCAGACGGAAGCAGCAGGGGGAGTGGCTGAAAGCCGGCATTTAAGTCGGACACAATTTCCTGCATGTGTAGCTCGCGGGTGACTATGGATGAAGATTTCGCGTTACCGTTCACACTTGTTGTTTAATTCTGGTGCCTGTTAGCAGCTGAAACACATCCTCACGTGCTTGTGGATATCATATATTGTATATGGAGACCTGACTGTAATAATAAGTAAAGGTTATCAGCTGTAGGTTTAGTGTGCTCATAGGAAGCGTGACAAAAGAACACAAAACACATTTCTCTTTATGACCTATATAGTTGTCATCATCAACGTTACATGATTTACAGAATACATGTGACCAACTAACATTTCATGTTCTACCGCCGGATGTTTGGATCAAAATGTGAACCAATCAGATCTTAGATCAGCTGAAAGCCAGGCGTTTCCCGTCATCCTCTAGGTTTAGCAGCCGGTGGAGAGCAACTGCAGCGCCTTGCTCCAAAATCTGCGGCCGTCTTGATCTCAGGAGGACATCGTTGCCTACGTATGCATGACGTCAGAGCAAGTCGGCGCCAAGCCGGACACAAATCTAACCGGCACGCACTGCGCGCCGATCACCGGTGATCGAATCTGCGCAGAACTGGCTCATCTTGAACACGGCCCTTGTTTCACTCTGTTGCATCATCCCACCCACCAGGCATAGAGAGTGCCCTGACTGGCCCACAAAGTGGATAAAGCTCTGTGATTTGTTCACTAAGCAGATAGAGCACTATGATTGGCCCACCATTATGGACCAATCACAGCTCTTTATGTGTATGAAACCCCTCTAGAGAGCTGTGATTGGCCAGCCAGAATGCTGTTCGGGCTGCAGAGGTTCCAGTGGAGCATTCCTAGACCAAACATTGCAAAGCAAGAATTTGGTCCAGTTCACTAGGCTAGAAGTCACCTAATAATAATAATAATAATAATAATAATAATAGCATGAAGACTTCCGGAAAACCTATCCCTCCAGCAGTCATTACCTTTTTCATATTTTGGTTAAGGTGATGCCTGACTTGTAAAAATCTGTAAAAGTCTACTTTTTATAAACCGTATTCATTTGTAAAGTCTCAAAACTCTTGAGTGACCCCCTGTGGAGAAATGAGTTATATCATGTAAGGCCCCAAAGGGACCAATTTTTAAACCTAGAATTTGCAAGTTTTAAAGGGCATTAACAAAAGTCCTCAGAAAGTCACACCTTTACTCAGATACTTAGGGGTTAACTCTCGGTGTGACTGCTATTCAAAATCAGCCTGCATATATACATACACATATATATGTATATATACATATACATATATATATATACATATATACATACATATATATATACATATATACATACATATATATATATATACAGGTGCTGGCCAGTAAATTAGAATATCATCAAAAGGTTGAAAAGATTTCAGTAATTCCATTCAAAACGTGAAACTTGTACATTATATTCATGCAATGCACACAGACCAATGTATTTCCAATGTTCATTACATTTAAATTTGATATTCATAAGTGACAACTAATGAAAACTCCAAATTTGGTATCTCAAAAAATTAGAATATTCTGAAAAGGCTGAATATAGAAGACACCTGCTGCCACTCTAATCAGCTGATTTACTCAAAACACCTGCAAAGGCCTTTAAAAGGTCCCTCAGTCTTGTTTTGAAGGCACCACAATCATGGGGAAGACTTCTGACTTAACAGCTGTCCAAAAGACAATCATTGACACCTTGCA